AACTAAAACTAAGATCTTAGTCTCCCAAAAGAGTATTCCTGGGGAATGGTTGGATTTTTAATTAAAACACTTGTATTTATTGATGCAAATGGATATTGCTTTGTATTTCCTAGTTGAACAGAGTTCTGGTAACCCAGAGAAGGAGATGCACAAGTGAACTTGGGCCTTTCCTTTTTCAAACCTGCCTTTAAGCTGTTAACTCTCCTAGCAAAGCCAAGCAGACACCTCAGTAACCATATTTTCTGGGCCTTTTTTGCAAGGCTTCCTGACTTACTGCCTCAAAGGAAAGAATTTCTTGATATGGTTAATTGAGGATAAAGCCTTAAAAACGACTATTTATTGCTACTGTCTCCTAAACATTATGAAAATACCCTCCAGAAGCACAGACTGTTAAGGGACCTCGCAGTGATTCAGTTCCTATGTCAGAACAGTTCATACAGTACAAACCCCTTACCTACTGGAGAAATTGTGGATGTCGGACAACAATGCTGAGTTTTCCTTTAATTGTTCAACTAATGTTTAGTTGATGTTCACAAATATGGGCTAAAAGCAGTATCCCTGCTGGTGAGATGTGCTCAGGGAATGAGTAATTATCTGGTGATTCAAAAATAGTGCTGGTATGTATGTCCTATGCTAAAATGATCAAGATGAAGCAGATGCAGCAATGGTGACAGTTGGGGGGGCTTTTAAAAAATTTTTTATTTGAGACTGTAAGTGTTGTGTATTTTCCACACTAACGTGGGAAAACAGATGATTGAACATGAGGGGGAACCTAACAGGTTTTGTAAAATCAGTAGACTTCCAAAATTATTTTCATCCTTTCTGTAGATGTATTCAGGAACAAACCAGGAGCCTGTTTTGTGTAAGTCTGCCTGCTTTTGCTGGAGTTCAGCCACAGATTGCCCTGCCTGAATTAGGGTAGGAATCATGAAAGCAGCTGAAACGGAGACTGTAAGGACTTCACACACAGCCTAGGATTTCACTCCTGTCTGCTAATGTATTGCAATGACATGGATGAGGAAGCTCAGAAATTATTTGGAAGGAAATGGGAGTGTAACCACAGCAACCGGTTTATTTTTGTGGTTTTTTTTTTTTTTGGTGGTTTATTTTTTAATCTTAAAACCTCTTGTGAGAAGCGGTATGCAGGGTGCCGGCTTTAAATAGTGCCCACACCCCCGCCGGCAAACATGTTTCACTCGCTTAGTTTCTTCCGAACAGGCTTCCTCCTGTCAGTGCAGTTCTGCGTTTTGAATTAAAACACTGTTGTGCGGGTGGGAGATGGTGCTGACGGCAGGTTCTTGTTTATAACTTGGTTCTGCAAGAACGTCAAAGGTAAGCACGAGATAAAAGCGCATGAAAACAACGTCCCGCCAGATGCACCACCAAAGGCTTGGGGCCTAAGGATGGAGGCTGATCTAGATTCAAAACTTTTCGGTCAGTGGTAACGTCTTGAAAATCACTGATGAGTGGATACGCCTAAGGATAATGTTATTTTAAGTTAAAAACATAAAAACACATCCAAAGCCTGGAAGACTTTCAAAACATCCTGAAGCCCATATTGATGGATACATATTCCTGTAAGGGTTTCTTTATGAAAATATTTTTATTCCTGCACGTTCTAGTTTTTCTAATGATCAGGTTAAGATTTCAGTCTGTTCCATTGAAAGAACTAGCAGAGACTTTTAAGAATACAAACTTCAGCTTTTTTTTGACTTGTCACTACAGGTTGTATCCTTTGAGTATAGGAAGTAAATTATTATTTTTTAAAATAATAACCTTGGTATAAGTGTTAGATTTCGGCTATGAAACTGTGATGAAGTTTTTAACGTCTTCCTTTCCTGAAGAACTGAACAACTTTGCAGCAGAAAGGAGGCACATGGAGATGAAGCTTTCACTGAAAGTGCACTGGTACCTGGTGTGGTACCTGCTGCTCCCAACAGCCTCAGTGGTCACATCTGGGGATTTAAAAGTAGTAGACTGACTGCGTTCTGTTCGTGATGCTGGGGAGAGGGAAACTGTTAATTGTTAGCTTAATGAAAAGCTTACAGTATTCCTGAGGTCTTTTCGAGACTTTTTATGGTAAGTGATTGTGTCTTATTTTAAGGTATACGTGGCTTGTCAGTCCATGCTTATTGTGCTTGTGGGAGCTGTGCCCGAGTATCGTATAGACCAAGAAGGAGTTGCAGCAAGCAGAGCTGATTTGGCCAGGCATATCCATTTTGTCGACAACTTCACATCTATAGTAACTGAGGCAAGTACTTCCATCACGCCTGACCATTTTTTCCTCTTCCTGGGATTTCTGCCACTAGTGCGGGATGTGGCGCTTGTAAAAGCTGAGGAAGACTTAATGTAAAGTTTTGCTTATACTGTTAAAAAGTGTTGGAACCCAACCATCTGGCTCTCTTATTTTAAAATCTGAAAATATATGACTAAATGATTAGTTTAGCTTTTGTAACATAAATCTAATACTAACTTATATTAAACTATCTGTATCCTATTTATGTTGTTTTCAGTTTCAGGTGTTTTAGAATCTCATTACTAGTGAACAACAGTCATTTAATTACAGTTTATAACTCTAGAATTCAGGATGAGCTCCTCCTAATGCCTGTTTTCTACCAAGAAAAGGTTCAATTTGTCCTGTCTGCACAATCTGCTGTGCGTGTGAGCTTTACCATGAGTTGTGTTAGTTTCTCACAGCAGATAGATCTTAAAAATTAAAACTAGTATGAAAATGAAACTCGTGCACCACATGTCTGGGTATTTTAATGCGTGGTGAGAGTGGGAGATGAAACAGATTGAAGTTTGCTGAGTGGGACAGAAGCTTGACCCTTCATCCTCATGCCTTGTGAATTCTGTGCCAGAGGCTGCGTTTGTTTTTTGCTGGTCCCTGGGCTGTAATCACTCAGGCAAGTGTAAGTGACTGAAGCATCGCTGCCAGTGCCAGAAAAAAAGGCCGCGTGGGCGACTTGGCCTGCAGCTGAGCTGTCAGAGTCCTGCTGATGGGATTCTTGGGGTGGTTGTCAGTAAACTCGTATAAGGCAGGTTAGCACTGGGTATAGCTGATATCAAATCTTTGCTTCCTTCCCATTATCCCAAATGTGACAGTGTAACGTGTTATCTTGGAGAGATGTAGTGACTAGACATAAGGAGGAATGATGCAATATTGATCATATCCTTTGTCAGAAAAATATTTTTTGATTAGCCTGTTTTCCAAGATCACCCTTCGCTTTCAGAGTCTTAGCAGGATGCGTGATATGGGGCAGTGCTTAATTTATAATCAGAAATTTTAACTGTATAATCAGCAACTTTTAACTGTGTTTGTAAATGTAGAGGCTGGTGTCCCTATTTCCAAAACATGTAGTAATTCTCAAGGCTCATCAAAACAAATACATGTTTTCATTTCAGTAACTTTACTGTAAGATGTTTAAAACTATATCGTTAATAATCATTTAATAGAATCTTTAGATGCTGGTTAATATTTTTCTGTATGCTAGCGGTCTGGTAACTAAACCAAACTGCCACGTGGATTTAAAGAGCTGAGAGGATGTCTGTTTTGGTGATAGCAAAATTGGCAGCATTTTTGTTTGCAAGCCACAGTTAATTTTGACAAATATTTAACAAGTTCCTTTTGTGCAAACAAAGTAGATAGCCGTATTCTTTTAGAAGTTATATTCTTCACAGTTTATTTTATCAGACTTGTTAAAATATGAGCATCTTCCAGTGACATGCTAAAGCAGCACAAGTAACAGTTTGTGAAAGCAATCGAATTTTCCCTTGCTCTATCCTGAGAGAGGAAGCTGCTTTTGTAAAGTTCATTTCCTTTATTTTGCTGATGGAGCTTAAACTGTAAATATTTTCAGTTGTGTTGTGGTTTGGCAGGGGCACTGTTCTGTTCTGGAGGTCAACAGCGCTGCAGAGCAGCTCTATCAGTTCTGCTTCAAGAACTAATCCTTGTAATTAATTTTGTCTAACTAAGACTTTGTAAATAATAGCTCAGGCTTGGTTCATGGAGAATGCAGTTTTGCTTCTTGGTCTGGCATCGACTCAGTCCCCTGCTTTAACAATTGATGCTTTGGAAGGTGAGTTCAGGAATGTCCTACATTTGGTGTAGAAATCATCTTTTACTTTGGGAAGTTGATTTTTACAGCCACATCCGGGACCATAAAGTTGTTTTGTCTCTTGCATCAGCCTGAAACAGTCTGCAGACAAGAACTGGGAGTGTGAGATTTGTATGCTGTGGCATGCTAGCACAGAGGAGGGACTTAAGCCAGCAGTGCTCTGTGCCTTGGAGAGTACATGCTGTGATATTTTTATATTTGAGGTTTCCTGAGGTGAGGATTCCTGCCCAGGAATATTTAATTGTTGAAGTCTCCTCGAAAAGTTAAACCGTAAGTTTTGGGGTTACATCCTTATCTAGTGTGATAGGGTAGGATCTACTACCCAGTGGGGTATAGTAGAAACCTGTTGCAAGTGCTGCTGCACAGGAGTTTTACCTTCCCAGGGTATCCAGAAGTCCCCCAAAACTGAATTGCTGGAACACTGGGTCCATTGGACTAAACAAGTGCATCTGCAGTCTCCTGGATGGGGAGAGGACAGGTAACTGCTTGGGTTATGGGGTGGATGGAGCCATGTCTTCTCTACACTTTTGAGTTCTGATTGAGTAAAAGCACATTTCTTGAGATTGTTATAAGTAAGAGTTTCAGTAAATTCCTAATATTCTTCGGGGATCTATATTAATTCAAGACAGACACTTCAGGGCTGTGGTCCTAGTCTGCTGTATTGGATTTTGGTCATGGGCCTCTTCTCTTAGGCTTTTTTGTTTGTTTGTTTTAAACCACCTACTTCTTTAAAAAAATCCAAATGGGATTAGGGTCCATCTTCCTTTTCCCAAAGGATGTACTGCACATGTCATTTACAAAGTCAGCCTGATGCTCAGCTACCTTTTTGAAAGTAAATTTTCCAGTAAATACACTGGGAATTATTTGAAATACTCAAATAATGACTGTTTCTTTGGGTAAAGCTTTGCATTGAATCAGTTAAATTGTTTTCCTTGAAAATCATGTAGGATTTTCTGATTGCAATTCTTTCCCAAGTTCATGCTGCCAGCAATGTTTGTAATCTCAACAGTGCGTTCCTGTGAGTGTTGATTCTTGTTCGTAGCAGAGGGCCTGCATAAGCTGTCTGTGTGCCTTGTTCTGTCAGGAAATACCATAAATTTCACTCTGATTTCAACCTGTTGTCAGTTGATTTTTTTTTTTTCTTCCAATGTTTGATTATGCTGCCTTAGTTTAGCTTCTGGATGAGGTAGAAAGTCCATTTTATAAAGAAACCCATCATTTGTTTCTGACTTTTGATTATAAATGCATGTATATAGTAAGACAAATGATCAGAGTAGGCATTATAAACAAGGACATCTTCCCATAATCCCTTCCTGATTCTCTTCACCATTTCAACATGTACATGATGAGGAAAGCACCAGAGATTACTCTTGTTTCCGGAAGCATTGCTGCACAGCATTAACTCTTCAAGTACAGCAGTAGTGAACATGAGCTGTTCTTGTTAATGAATAATTTTTGTTACCTGTTCATTGAAATAGCTACACTTGGTCAATGTTGAAAGGACCAAGCTGTTAGCAATGCAGACTTTCCTTGTGTTAATATCTTGAGATAAGTTGCCTTGCCAAAGCTTGGGAATTGGGGTGCAACTAACTATACTTATCAAGTTAAAAGCTTATAATGTGTTATAATGAAATTTCTTGGGGGGGAGAAGGTAGATGTGAGACTCTTAGGGAAGAAAAAATAGGACTACTGCTGTCTTACCTACCAAACTTTGATCAAAACTCTAATTGGATATAAAGCAAGAAGTGGGAAGTGGCAAGAGAAGAATTTTGATAGTTTTTTTGAGGAAGCCAGCAACTTGGTGTTAATACTTTTAACAATAAGGAGATTCTTTTTTTGACAGTGGTACCTAATCGAACAAGAAGCCTACAAAGTAAGCCTTGCATCTTCCCTATTTTTTGCTGGATTGCTTATTGGAAATATCACATTTGGCCCTTTGTCAGATAAACTGGGCAGAAAACCAGTGTATATCTCAGGTAAGGTTTTTAAAAGGTTTTTCTTAAGCATTCTACAGGGATAACATCATCTCTTTCTTTTCTGCCTGTGGGCCACCCTACCTGGAGGCTGCCCGTGGGTCACCTGCTCTGTCCGTGATGTGGAATCAGTGATTTGTGGAAGGGTTTCACTCCAAGTAGAGCAGCACTAAAATTGGTTAGTATGAGTGCGCTGAGCAATGTAGGGGTCACTGGAATATCGATGGGAGATGAGAAAACACTTGGTTTTGCTATCACTGTCACTATTGGAGCACAGTATTCCACACACTGCCCAACCATGTTGTTGCCGATAAAAATAATTTGCTTTTTTTTTTTGAGCGGGAGAATGATTTACCTGAGCATCTTTAGATTGGGTTACTCAAGTCCTGGTGTTTTGCTTTCCAGCTGCATTTGCAGCCAGAGGGGTTTAGTGTTGAATGACAACGTTGTCTCAAGGAAACATCATCTTTGGCATTGCAGACCTCAAGTGTGTGACTTGAAAATGAATGTAATTTTCACATGGTGTGATTTAAAGGACCTGAATGCAAGAGGTTAGAGATGAGTACTATAGACTACTCATTACAGTCAGTGACTGGGGTCCCTGCCTTTCTTCTGAGTTCACGCTCTGTAGCATAAGTACTAATTACATTATATTCTCTCTCTGCAGGTCTATTTTTTGATGTCGTTTTTGGGTATGTCACAGCATTAGCGCCGAATTATGACGTATTTGCAGTTTCACGTTTCTTTGTTGGAATTGTGAATGGTGGAACGGCTCTTGTGTCTTTTGTCCTAACACAAGAATATGTAGGAAAATCATTTTGGTCATTTACAGGTGGGATTTGGGAATATTTTATCATTATTTCTGTGCCATGTATTGTTCTGACTATCAGTACCTTACATTGTACATTTGTGCCAAGTAAAATCAGTTTGTAGTGTAAGTCAGAAAGTGTGATGTGAGTCATCCAGTTTCTAATTTGTGTAGGAAGTGTACCTGGATAAGGAAGATGGGATTGAGTTTGTTTGATAAATATCAAAGCTGGCGCTTTAAAATCAGTACATTGACTCCTAAATTTCTCGGTTTGTACACTGCAAAACATGATAAAAAATACCTGTTTTGGCAGATCCTGCCAACTTCAGAACGGTGCTGTATGGTGTCTTGGGCAGGTATTCTTGAACGTGTTCTGAAGTTTCCCTTCACCACAAAATGACTTAGGGCCAGGATACTGTTTTTTCTACTGCTGAATGTGCTGACTGTCCAGTATTTTTAAATGTCTTTTTTCATATGCCACTGCCAAGGCTTAAAATAAATGTAACGCTTGCATGTCAGACTGTTGTAAAGCTGGAGTAGCTCAGACTGTACCACCTTTTTGGCTAGCACAACATGGAGAAAAACTTGGTCCAAATGATGACTTGTTGTGGCTGTAAGCGTATTTCTCTCTTACTACTTCAGTTACCTCATTCTACTATTTTTCTTATTTCGTCTTTAGACTCCTGGTGATGTAGGAGGCAGTTGTGTTTAGTTATAGCTTTCCACTTTTTTTTTTTTTTTCAAAAAGAGCTGAATTTTCTTTTTCTCCTGGGTTCACTTTTTTGACTCATGCCCTCTCTCTCTCTCTCCCACCCCTTCTTCCCCCTTGCCCTGTTGTCTCTCTCTGCTCTCCTGGCCTTTGTCCCTGCAGGGCCAGCCTCCTGATGGACCGAAGAGACAGTCTTTTTCCTGCTGCTTGTTGCTCTAGATGCTTTATTCTAGTTCTGCTCAGCTGTTGAGAAAGAGGTGCTGGACAACTGACCAGGGGCTGAAGGAGAGGGAGCTGCTGGAGGCAGCTCAGCAGGGCTGAAGAAGCTCTTCTAGGTGTTGGCTGGGAGTTAGGCTTGGTGGGAGATAGCAGAGAGCTTCTGGGTTAGTACAAGATCTTCTGTGTTAGTCTGCAGAGGGTTTGTTGTTAGGCTTTTGGAGTTCTAGTTGGCCCCATGTTTTTAACATTTTTACTTATGCTTGTTCATTGGAAGTTGCAAAAAACCTCTGGCTTGCAGCTGGTGTTGTACTGAACTCACTCCTTGTACTTTTATAACTGCCTTCCAATTTCTGTTCCAGCTTGCCATCTCTATTCAAGATTGCCTTAATAGACCTAAATAAATTGTTCATGCTCAACACTTCCCCTTTCTGTCCTCATGTATTCTCTTTAGTCTGTCGGTTTCTGTTCATTTCTTGCTCTCAGCTGTGTATCACCATTTTTGAAAGGGGGAAAAAAAACCCCAGCAACCCCCATACACTTATACAATGCTATTCTTCACTGGGATTGTGTAATATGTTTAAGCCAGCTGGTTCACAAATGCTGTAAAGATACATCATAAAATTGCTATTTTATTTAGGTATATCACGGGCTAGGAATTTCTGGTTTCTTCTTAAGAAACTTTTTTTCTTTTGCCAGTGGTTTCAGTAATCACAGTCTTGGTCTTGTATTTTCAGGTTCGTTAACTAATTTGACATTTGCTGTTGGCATTGCTGTTTATGCTTTACTGGGTTACTGTATACGACAGTGGCGCTACCTTGCCTTGGTATCCAACAGTCCAGGAGTCATCTTCCTCCTTCTGTCTTTGTAAGTGGTTCACGTGCATTATAATGACAAGAAAAACTATGTAGCAATTTAACAATAATCTTCTGTTGTGTCATCATTTGAGAGGGGTATAAGCAAGGATGACTTTTTTGTGTATGGTTTTGTGAACCAAGCAAGAGAAAAATCGTGTTGTGAAGGAAGAAGCAGTTTGCAATGAAGCAGAAGGTCAGCGTTACCCAGAAGATAAGCTTGTGTTTCTGCATGTTGTTACAGTTGTGGGCAGCGTTGCAAAGAGCAGCTGTGTGCCAGCTGTCCAATAAAACTCAATTACAAATCTGCTTGGGGAAGGGAAGGCTTGCCAGAGGCTGCGAGCTGCAGCACTGGCCAGGAACGCTGCCTCCTGCCAAGAAAGGGCTTCGCCGCTTGAGAAGTTTTGGAAGCGATCCTAGAGGGATTTTAGAGTTTTTTTGAGACACATGCGTGCCAATGGAAATAAGTGAGAGCGCTTGGAATTGCCCTTTTAGCGTGGTATGCGATGTGTCTGCTTGATTTTGAGGTCCCTTGTATCTGTTCCTAGCACTGTTGGGCTTGGGTGGTCCCATTTAGAATTCTTACATGGACGTTATGGTAACAATGATTATGAAATTCACCAATATTTAAGAAATTAAAAGTGCAAGCTTTGGCCTATGTTGTTAAGAAATATTCTTTTAACATATCAAGTAATACACCTTGTATACTTCTGATCACTAGTTAAAGCTGCACAAGAAATAAAAGAATTAGTGTAGTAGGTTGTCTGCACATTAATACAGGGAATGTTTAGCATATAGCATAGACAGAAAAAAACCCCTGATTTTTACTTGTTTTTTAAAATATAAATTATATTTTAGATATCTGCTCTTGAAATAAGTTATGTTAAAGAATACACCAACCCCCCCACCCCCCATCATTTTGTACTCAAGGAAAACAAAGCTTCTGGACTGAGGAAAAGTTCTGCATAATATATTTTCTTTTGTGGTGTTCTGTTTCTGATGGGAACAAAATTACTTCCTCTAAATACTAAAAATACTGTGATCCTCTGAAGTAATGAAAGATTAGTCTGATTATAGGATGTGTATCTCTATTAGGAGTACCAGGAAAATGTTCAGTTAAAAATACTCTATTCCTTATTTTATAGCTTGTATAAAGACAGCAGCACACTCCACAACCTGAAAAAAATGGGAATCGTGAACTGAAGTTGTGGTAGACAAGAATAATCTGGTTATACTTGGGAATGAGATTTAAAACTCATGCAGGCAGTGATGAGCTGGTAATGGCACCTGACAAGTAATTCCCCAGTAATGGTTTTTTCCTCTTCTCTCCAAGTCAGAGCCCTTCCCATAAGGGAGAAGCTTAAAATAAACTTTGTGTAAAAAAAGTTTTGTGTGAGCTGTTGAGATATTTGGGATTTGAGGTGCTGCCTGGATAATATTAGTGTAGCATTTCTTCAGAAGTCAGTTCAGCAGAAATCAAGATTTAGGTTTAAACTTTACTAACATAACTGAGGGCCCTGTTAAGCGTCTCCAAGAATCCTTCTGTAAGGGTGACTGTGTTATTATCAGAGTGTGTGGAGTTTAATATGCAGAACAGTGCAAATAGAACGTTTTGCTCTGGATTCTGTATCGGTTCTTTTTTAAAGTATTGATCTGCAAAATGGAGGGATTGAATTTAGTGCTGTGTTCATATGAATGAACTTGTCATAATTGATTTTCTGTTCTTTCCTGTTAGTACGCTCCCAGAATCACCACGATGGCTGTATTCCCAAGGGAAAACGGCAGCCGCTGAAGATGTGTTGCAATATATTGCCCTTGGTAATGGAAAAGAGAGATTAACTCTAAAATTAAAACCAACTGCAGGAACTTTGAGAAAGGATGAATTGGCACCTGGCATCCTGAACTTAATAAAACACCCAGTCCTTCGGTGGCAGACCGTCGTACTTATGTACATCTGGTACGTGATAACAAGACACTGAGATCCTGTGAATGACTCAAACATGAGGAAGCGATTAAAATTTTCATCCTTTTCTTTTAAAAATTCTTCCCTCAAAAACTAAATTGTAAATCTGCTGGTTGATGGCTGACAATCATCTAAAATGATGTGTTGTAAAGTTGACGTTTCATTATTATTTCATTTTATTTTCAGTGTGTTAGTAGATTTTGAAGCAGAAGGAATAGTTTGCTGAGAACATGATATTTACATTGAGTGAAATGAGAAGCTGCAGCAGAAATTACTGAGAGCGTGGGTATTTGAACCATGAAAGATGGATTAGCCAACAGTAGAGACCTAGAGTAAGAATAGGCGTTAAGAGCCCAAAAGCACGTTGCACAGGTTCAGTGAGTAAGAAAAATGGGGAAGATAAAATACAGATTGCATAGGTATATATTAGATAGATATATATTAGGTGTTGTCTTGAGAAGTGTTACAACTTGGGGGAAAAAAAAAGAATTGTCCTGAAGCTCAGGAGGATATATTGGCAATAAGTGGAGGGAAGCCCTGCGGAGGGGAGGGTGTTGGGTTGGTGGTTACAGCAGCTGCTGTTGCAGATTGGCTTGAGCTAAGATCTCTTGGAGGAGCAGCTCTGTTCCAAAATGTATGAACAAGTTTTTGCTTTAAAGTTCAATGTCATTTGAGACAGTTGTCAGGATGTAGCTGAGAAAAATCAGTAGTTTGATGCGTGGGGTAAGCAGAGTTTTGCAGGACGTGGGAGGAGCAGCAGGAACATCTTTGCTCAGTAGGACCTTTCCAGAAGCATCTTAGACTGTTGAATTGCTGCTGGGTAAACAAGTAATTATGGTGATAAGCAGTTGCACAAAGGCATTCTTACCTCCTGGAAGAAGAGGTTGCAGCACTGTTTTGTGGCCTGAAACCCTGTTGAGATACAGTGAGTGGTGCTGTTGGAATGGTGTCACAGCAGTTGTCACCCATCTGCTTGTGCTGCTGCTCACTACCCGCAGCTGTGGCTGGTGGAGGACATGCTGCTTCTCCCTGTATTGGGCAAAACTTCCTTTTCTACATCGCTTGGCCTAGATTTTCCTTAGACAGTAAGGGAGCGACTAGGGAACAGGCAGAATGTCTTTGAAATACCTGGTGGCTTTTCCAAACCAGTGTTGGTTTTTGTGGGGCAGGGATGTGGGGGCTTTGTGCTTTCCAAGGAAAGGGAGACTAGGTTTGCTGGGGAAGCCTTCCCTGGCTCTGGGGAAGACACTCTGTGTTAAGCAGGGGATGTAGATACAATTTTCTTTAATAGGATTGTTTTGCAACAGATAAGCGTTGGCTGCTTACAGTTAAGCTTATTAGATTTATTAAATAACCTGGGAAAAAAAGCAAGCTAAGAACATTCTGAAAGTTATCCTGTGCATATATATGAGCATTTGTTTTCTTTCCAGAAATTAAGTAGGAACTGTTCTCTTTGCCTTGTTTCCGTTTTGGGGGAAAATAAGAGTTCTCTTCCCAGCATGCAACTCAATATAGCTAATCCATAACTCGGCATAATTTACCTTTTAAATACTTTTTTAGCCCTAAAGGCTAGTTTTGTTAGTAATATAACTTTTGTGGTTATTTGTAGGTATGTCTGCAGCTTTGTGTACTATGGACTAACTTTAAATGCTGGTGAATTAGGAGGAAATCTGTATTTAAATGTGGCTCTTTCTGGTCTTGCAGAAGTTCCAGCATTTCCTCTCTGCATGTTTTTTATTGAGAAATCCTGGTAAGAAAAACTTATTTCCTAGTTTTCTACATCTGTTTGTAGATAGCCTAGAAAAATATTAACATTTTTCTCAGTAAGGTACTTCACTGTTTCTAAACAGTGTTGACTCTCTGGGAATTTACTCTACTGCAGGGGGTTTTACAGCTGATACAGAAATAGGACTCTGAGTTTCTACCTCTACTCTTTTTTAGTTTTGTTCATCTTTAGAATTACTCAGAGATGAACTTTTCAATGATTAATGTTATCAAAAAAAAGTTTGCAGTTTATAGAAAAATTGTGAGTAGCCTTGTTATTTAAGTATCTATAGCTTATATATGTGTCTTGTGTATTTTATTCAGAATGACTTGGTTTTGTACTGCCTACCGACTGCGGTTGAAAGCAGTTTTCAGCATTGTTCGTTTTTACTTCAGAGTTCTCTTTGAAAAGCTTAAGTGAGAGCTGTTCAGATTTGGTTAAGGCATGAATGATCAATGTCCATGTATTTTCATACTTTGCAGTGTATTTGGAGGCCATCCTCCACGTGGGTACTTAATTCAAAAGGCTGAACAGTCTGGCAACCCAGAGCTGCTCAGGGTTTCATGTAACCTTCAGTTTGAGTATCTTTGTAACGATACTTTGGTCTCCCTGAGCTCAGTGGCAAAAATCCCATTTTCTTCAGTTAGGTGAGGATGTCAACTTCTGGGTTTTTTGGGCTGTAAAAAGCTGTCAGCTCGATCAAACCCACCAGCCACCCTTCACCTCAAGCCCATGAAGCCTGAGTGAAGGACGTGCATTTAAAAAACAAACTGCACGAGTCCTTTTCCTCATTACTTTTTCCATTGTGATTTGTCAAATTAATCGTAAATTTCAAGCTTTTGTTTTCCTGAAGTATATATGTACTTTTAAGTACTTGATGCAAAACAGAATGTGATGAGCCAGCTCTTGTTTTCATTCAGTTTTAGCGACCAGTATAGTGCTTTTTGTTGCAAAAAATACTTAGACGATCTTAAAAACAAGTGTTGTGTGTTTGTTACAGATAAACTGTAGTTCTACTGGTATGGGGTAGTAGTTAGAAATAGCTGTGAGAGTTCATGAAGTAACAAGCATGTATAGTATTTCTACATGCCTCCAAACTGTTACTAATATCTTTATTTGTTGTCCTTTGCAAATAATTATGAAATATTTAAAGTATGGCAGATGTGGAGATGGGCTGATGACTTTCTATCCTGTTGGGTTTTTTTATTTTGAAACATTAATCAGTAGAAATAGCCTTTGCATGTTTCCATGTATATACTATAGGACAGAAAAGTATTCAGAATAGTTTCACTGTGTCATAACTGCATATATTTATGCAAAGTTGTGAAAGAGGCATACAGATCAGAATTACGTTTTCATTAATTGATCTTTTTGTGTATGCATTGTAATACCCTCTTGGTGACAGAGCCCATTGCCTCGCTCAGTACAGAGAAGACAAAGTCTACGTGTTCTTGTTGCTGAAGGTTCTTCTCAGGGAATTCAGTACAAATTCAGTAGCTTAGAAATCAAAACTTGACTAGAAATAGGAAAGCTTTTTGAAGCACTTAGCAAGGTACAGTAGGTTTATAACTGCTATTAATGCTGCTGTGTACTTTAGTTGGTGTTCAAAAAATACTCAAGGACTTTGTTACCATCTTTATCTGGGTGCTCTTTTCCTTCTAGGTCTGGGAGACGTAAAACTATGACATGTTTTCTGGTGTTTGCAGGATTTGCCTGTATATTGACCATGTTTTTACCAACAAACACTGGTAAGTACGTAGTGCTGCTAAAGGAGTTGTTTGTTAATTAGGATAAAGGCTGACAAAACAGCTTCCCCGAGTATCTCGGGGCCTAAAGCCCTGTCCGTTTATACCTCTCTCTTTCCCTGTCTCTTCCTTTTGGGGCTGGTTAGGGACCCAGGGTCTTGTCTATATTGCTTTTAACTTCCTACAGGCATCATTTGACCCTGTTAATTGACAGTTTGTCTGACTTGGGAGCCCTTGGCATTTTGAAGGTCAGACCAAGCTATCACATTCTGTCTCAAATACTGGCACTTTTATCACATTTATCACTATTAAGCAGTTTACCTTAAAATACTGGATTTAATAGCCAGGCTGCAGTGCTGTGTAATGTTAGCTTGGCTGGATCTTGCCAAGCTTAATTTTACATTTGGCTTGGTGGCATGTAATATTTATAGAAATAGGAACTGAGGTTTTCCTGAATTAGAAGCTTAATTAATCATTAAAAAAACCCAAACCACTAAAAAGCCATAAAAAAATGTTGTACTTGAAAAAGAGAAATGTCTGTCAGATTTGCAATATGGAAGCTGTAGGTCTGGCAAGAAGCTTGCTGCTTTCCTCAGTCTCGTGCTGTGTATTGCTGCATTATGCAGTTGTGGGGACAGTTCATGGTAGTAGTGGAGTATCATCAAGTACATTTCTCTTCTCAGAATATGTGTTTTTTTTCTAACATTGTCAGTGACATGTTTGTTTGAGTTGGTATTTTTGCTTTTCTTTCCATTTCAAGTCCCAACTTTTCTGTACTGATATGTATTTTACCAACTGAAAGTTATGTCTGTGCGACACTAACAGATTGAAGTGGCCTCTCTCTGCTTGTGTTTTTCTTCATATCTCTTGAGTAGAAATGCTTTCGCCTTAACAGTGTTTTGAGGAGCAGCAGTGATGTGATTACAAGGCAGCACTCTATAGGTTGTGCTTATCCTGAACAGTTATATACGCTGTCTGGCATCCATTTCAATTTGATCTCAGAAGAGTCTCAGGAAGAAAGACCGAGATAAAATACCCCGTAATCCTATTTGCCATGCTTGTGTTAATTCAAGTCTTCAGATATTTTGTTGCTTCTTTTCTTGAGACGCTTTCTTCCTTTGTTCCAACAAGTTCGCTCTTTGTGCTTCTTTTTATATATTTTCATACAAAATTAAAGAAAACCAGTCGTGACTAATCAGGATAGGGTAATAATGCCTGAAGAGCTGCTAAATTTCAGGAAGTCTTCTGCCTTTTCCAGTCGACTTGACTTTAACCCCATTAAAATGTCTTACTTTCTCCTGTGGTTCTTGGCCCAGAGTGATCTGTGTCAGTTAAGTAGAAAGGAATTCAGCTCCCAGCATGATGAAGATGAGTCAGTGTGGATGAAATGAGGGTTGTTGCATCTCTAGTCTGACCTTCCTATTTCAAAGGAGAAGGCTTCTTATGTTTGTCTAAGTCTTTGTTCTTGTGAGTGATTGATAAGTTCCTTGGTTTTATTGCAAGGATTTTAAGGTTTTAATAACTAAGTGGGCACTTGCCTCTCATGCCTATGACCTTCACTCGATTTCTAAATAACTCTGCTAACTTGTGAATAAGAACCTGATCCACATCACCTTCCCTATGGAATAAGCCAAGAACATTTCTGTTATTAAAGATGTGTACTGAATTTGAGACGAAAAATCTCTCAGTGATTAAGTAAAAACTGATACATCCCTTCAGCTCTATATTTCCTTATCGCTTAGAACTCATCAATTAATTTGTGTGAGTATCAGATTGGAAGATGGTGAGGGAGAGTGACAGCATGGGGAGAATGGAGCCGTAATATTTTTTCTTTTCAAAAGCTGTTGTAAAGCATGGAAAAATCTGCGTTTTGTGTCTGCTCTGCTGTAGCAAGCAAAGGAGACTTCTAGTCTAGGGGGAACTAGATTTTAACTTCTGTTTAGATTTATCTGCTTGTGCTGAACAGAATATTTTTTTTTGTGACTTCCATTGATATGCTTTCCACTGAAGAAAGAAAGAAAATTTGCAGTTCCTCAAATCAATTTTGCCTCAGCTTTTGCTAATGTTGGGTATTTCCTTTTGTGTTGAGAAATGCCCTTCCTTGGCGGGTAGTTTTTTTTGAAGCAAATTTAAAGACTCCTTTACTTTTCAAAAGTACTGCTTAAGTGAACTTATGAAGATGGCAGGTGAATCTACATAATGGCACTGCAAACAAGACTACTAATGGCATTGATAGCATCAGAACTTAATCACAGAGCAAGTCCTGTTCTAGGTGGTGTTAAACATCAGCATCATTTGTTACTATTTTTCCCTCACTTTCCTTTTCTAAATTCCAAAGCTGAGTTAATGCAAGATTATCACTTATCAATAAAATTCAAATACATGAATTTTCTAAGAATTTACAATTTTGCCTTTTACCAAAGTTTGAAACAGTTGCCCTGACTGTAATGCTTCAGTGCACACCACTGCTATTGGACATTCAAGTGAAAGGGTGTTAGGTGAAATAGATGAAATAGAAAATAGGTGAAATAGAAATGTTGAAGGTGCTGCATGGATGTGCTTGGCTGGACCTAGAAATGACCTCTAAATGGTCAGCAGATTCCTCATAGCAGAAAGTGCATTCCTGCTTAATGGCATTACATTTTCTAGATGTAAAGAAAATAATGGACTGTTCTGCAAGAATTGCTAAAAATATGCTCTGAGACTGAGGAAAATGTAAAGACTGTGTCTGGGCTGGTTTACACAAGGAAGCTGGCGTGCAGTGCACTTCCAGTAGGCTTCTAATCCCACAGTAATTCCCTGTGGGAGGGAGCCTGGAGGAGACAGTGCACTTCAAATCCACTCCTGAGCCTCTGAGCACTAATTTCTCTGTCTAAACAGACTCTTTCTTCTGTTTTAATAGTAAGACCAAAACTTTGCAAGTGCACTAATGCTACGTTTCTAATACATGGATATGCAGAGTTCAATGTAAGTCTCCCTGGGAGAGGGACAGCAAGCTTTAAAACATATTTGAGAATAACAGATCTCTTTTTCATCGTTTCGTGTTTGGTTGATGGAAGAGAAGGGATGTCCCAGCTTTCTGACAGCAGGGATCTGAGGACCAGGTTCACACCTTTACATCTGGCAAGTGTATGTAGTATTCCAGTCCTTACTGAGGAAAAGGAGGACTTGGATGAAAATGTTGCATCTGTTTTGCATGGATTACATAAATAACTGCAAAAATGTATCACGCTTCAAGAAATTAAATCAAGTTTCTGGGTTTCAGTTTATGTACAATTTAATTTCTGCTTCAGTTGAAATAGAATCTGACTTGATCATATGAATAGAACTGAAAATATTCAAGGACAAAATTAAAAGAAAAGCAACTGAGCAGCAATCAGACTTTCCCATTACTTAATCAGCATCATTTCATCTAAACTGAAACATGCTGAACTCGGTGCTGAGGAAGAGAACCTGAAATACAACTAATCAGAGCATTCATTCTCCTTCATGCTTAAAAAAAAAAAGAATTCTCACTTTATTAAAATGAGTGGTGCAAAGATAACCATAACCAAAATCAGGATCATGAAAGCCAGGTTTCTTTTGGACTTCAAAAGATGCACGTTTCAGTTTAGCCAACTAAACTCTGTCCATTAGTAAGCTGGGCTGCAATGACATTTGTTCTTTCCAATTACAGAGCTGTTGGATTTTAAGTCCCAACAGGATGTCCTTGGGCAGCAAATAAAAACTGTTGAGGGTGAATTAAGAAGTTTTATGGTTTTTATCTAACAGATTAGTCACGGAGGCTATGTTGTCTGTCAAAAGACGCAGTTACCTGATAGGGTGTTCTGACTGCAGAGCTGGAAGTGTTAGCAGTCCATTTAGAGCTGTGATAGTTTATATTTTCCCCCCAGAATGGGTCAGAGTTTCTTGGTCCTGGATACAATTTTATGTATCTGTTCTTGTGTTAGCTCTTAAAATGGTTGGGAAGAACAGAGATACTGCTTTTTCGCTTGTAGTTGAAAAACCTATGGATGCAACATTGGTTTTGCACGACAGTCTCTTAAAAGAGGACTGGTTGTTTTCAGAATTGTGTGAGAAAGAGTAAGAAACCAGACTATTTATGCTTACAGCTTCTTTTCTCTCTCTTGAAAGGTCTGCTCCTCAGTCCCACTTTGTTAGCTTTATGTGGAAAAATGATGGTCAGCGCCGCTTTCAACATCGTGTATATTTATACATCTGAACTGTACCCAACAGTACTGAGGTAATTCAACAGAGCTCCTGGGGGAATGAAAATACTTCTCATGCACAGTGATACCGATTGCTGGTGTGCTTATCTGTAACTATTTTTACCTGAAATATATTGATATGAGTTCTTCCTCTAATTACAGCAGCTGCCAGGGGTTGGAAGGGCTTCTCCTATTAGTAATGTGTTTTGCACCAGTGCACTTTACTGGGCTGTTTGTGGCAACTTCCTCTAGGTCTGAATTCAGAATAAAAATATGAAACCCAACTTCTTACATGGCAATGATAGGTGTCATATTTCTCATTTCTACTATTGATTTTTGGGAGTAAAATTACAGGGTGCAAAACCAAGCCTAATGATGTGGTGGAAGTGCATGCAAACTTCATCATAAACACAGACTCTGCAGTAAGGACTATTTACAGTCCTTCTGTATACTTCTGTCTCCCTATGATTATGTTTGTTTGCCTGCTGAAAAGCAAGTGGTTTTCTATAGCTGTTATTTAATTAAATATTCATAATGCAATTAATTTTAATGTTTTCTCTATGACAGTAATTTGCTTTACACTATTTAATTCATGAACAAGTGAGCTAAAGCCTTAGTTAACTATTTTTCATAGTTGTCATGAACTGTATGTCAGGTTTCTCTCTTGTTGTCCCAAGATAAAGCTGAGGTAGGAAAATACAATACCACAGTCTTGTTCTTCTCGCCCCCATTTTGGTTCCATGTGATTTTTCTGAATGGTACTCTTAAGTACGTGTTCACAATTCGAGCCCTGTTGCAGTAGTTGCTCAAGAATAGCGAGTCCAGAACTGCTGCAGAAATTGAGCCTTCTTTGGAGAGCAGGGAAGCTGAAAGCTGATGTGGCGTGGGAGGGTGTCCCAGCTGTGTCCTGTAGCACCGTAGAGGTAGTTAGGGTGGTGACATAAATCACTTGATTCCAGGACACTGAGGGCTTTGGGGATGGGAAATAATTACGTGGGTGACTCCTTGGATTGGCTTTTTTTTGTTTCTATTGAGGTTTACAAATTACCATATTTTACAGAGGCATCAAAGCTAGACTGGGAATGCAGTTTTTGCAGTAAAACTTGTGAGGATGGAGGTGGATTGACTGTTTCTAGATACTGAGCTTGTGATTCTTGGCACAGGTTTAGGTTTAATATGCAAGCCCCAAGCACGCTGACTGAAATGATATGTGGGTGTTTGTTTTTATTCTCCCCATACAGACTTTTTAAGGCCTTATTTAAGTGGATTTTTTTTTTACTTTTTGTTTTCCTGTCCCCTCTGCTTTACTGGAGTTGCGAATCAGGAGAATTAAACCTGAAAAATGTTTTAATTCCTCAGCTTTTGCTTGTTTCACTGTGTTTTCATGTTACTCGGAGTTCCTAAGTCCCACTGACATTCAGTGCCAAGTATGTGACAGCTCATACCTAGCAGAGATTACAGTAGTGTCTTTGGGTCTTTGAAACTAAGCATTTGTGATTAGGAAAATTAAAAAAAAAAAAATTATTAATCAAGTGCTGCTTCATTTGAGAATCTGCACTAATATTCTGACAAAGTAACTTTGTGTGTCAAAGATACAGCCAGCTAGCGATGAAAATGCAAGAGTAAAGACAGTTAAGAAATTAGCAACTTTATTAGACCACTCGTGTTTAATAATATGACAAACTGTTGCGTTAAACTATATGAACATTCCTCACATCTGACAGTTTATACATTTAAAAATATGTTTTGATATCTCTCTGGTACTTTAACTGCAAATACTGTATTTTATGCAAGAAAAGCAGTGATGGGTGAGTGTTTAATTTAAAGCAAAGCATCAGCACCATCTGGTGGTCTTTGCAAAATTTCGCAGGGATCCTGGCATTTCCCTGGCAGCGGAGCTCAGGCGTGCCCTGTGATGAGACATGTATCGCTCAAAGGGGAGAGGACGTGGAATAAATTTATTTTTTGGTGTTTTTCTTTTTTGTCCAGTTGGACGTTTTGCAGACAAATTAAATGTCTTCAGTGTTACTGCTCCTTATTTAAACCTACTTATTTGAGCATGAGGACTGTTAGGTATATTTTTTTAATTAACTAGTACATGGAGTAATGACAAATACACTTCATGCTAGGAATGGGGAAGTGCTGCAAGCTGGAGAGTGTGTACATGCTTTGGGCTTTTTTTCCTTTTTGATGTGTCTTTAAAATACCTACTGGAGAACAAAAAAGTTAAAAATAGAAAACATCACTGCTGTTGCATGTTGGACAGAAAGGAAGGTTGTCTTTGGGAACAAAATGTAATCATATTGTAGTAACAGAGATGTAAAAACACATGTTTTTCATAAGATGATTGCAAATGATGATGTCCTTGTATGTGATGGGTGAAAGAAGAGTGGGACCACTGGACTGTCTAAGACAGCATTGGAAATCTTATTTGCTTATTTCTACAGTGGGGAAACTACTGTATTTTCCCTTAATGTCAGTGGTGGTAGATAAATTAGTACTTTTTAAAAATACTTGCCCTTTTAACCTCTGGCTCTCTTTACAAGGTCCTCTCCATAATTCTTTCTGTTGAAGAGCAGTCCTTGGTGAGCCTAGTGCAATTGTAGGTGCCAGCAGCAGAGAGGTTTTTTACGTTTGTGCAGGGCTGTTCCCTGCTCAGGGGACTGTGCTGGGCAAGTGGCACAGCTCGGGGTGTGCCACAGGTCATCTGCCAGGCAGCTGCAGCCCGACAAACTGGCTGGAGCAAAGCCCCCAGCTGATGAGATGACCCTGGTTGTGGAGCTGTTTTGGCTGGCATAGCTCCCTGCTTGCTCCGTGGGACCGTAGGGACACGTGCAGTCAGTCAGGTTTAGTGGGTCTTCCCGTGAGGGGGGTGAAAGTGGGGCAGTAAGGTGAGACGGGAGATGGTGACCAGCTGTGGGCAGCACAACACCTCAGGAAGTCTCAGCTGATAGTTCTTGGGTGAGAATGCCTTTTCCCCTTGGATACCCTGATACTGTTCTGCATAACCCAGACTGTGGAATGCTGAATTAAAGGTATCCCGAAGTCTTATAACAGCTTTCATTTTGCATTGGGATCGAAATGGCACAATTTGCATTTAGGATCACCTCTTGCCCTACTCCCCCTTGGCAGACCGAAAGAAGCCATCAGCCCTCTGGATAGGGACTGGTTTAGGGTCAGTGGGAAGGAGGCTTCTGAATGAATGGTTCACACGTGCTGGTGTGTCTCATCTGCTCAGGGATTTTGCTGACAGGGGAGGTGCTTGGCCTTGTCTTGTGGGGTTTGGGTTGATACCACCTCAGTGTGAGGAAGCATGGGTTGCTGCATTCCTTTTCCCAAGAGGACCTGATGAGAGAAAAGGTTGCTTTGTCTATTTTTACACCAAAGTCTCTGGTGTCTCATCAGCTCCTTCCATCATCTGTTTCCCTTAACCTGTGCAAAGGGCCGTTAGGAAGGGACATGCAGGTGGGCAGTTCTAGTGACCCATGTCACCTCTCTGCTTGTCTTTAGTCCTGTCGTTGTCGTCTTCTCTTTGGGGGAAGAAAAGGAAACAGGGTGAGGAGGAGCAGCTTGGCTCAGTGATGTGACTGAGGATGATGATGAATGAGAGGAAGCAACCGAGAGATGTAGGGAATAGAACAGCCACCACGAGCCTGTTCTTGCTGTCTCCCTGGTGACTGGTGCCAATGTCAGCCTCTGAAGGGGCTGTTAAATACCGTATTTAGGAGTGATGCAGAGATGGAACATTTTTGCATTTGATTGGGAAATGAAAGACTTTGAGGATTTTTGTAACTTTCTTTGAAGAGGATCCTGCTGTTCTTACTCATGCTTTGATTATCACAGTCTAGATGAGATTGTTTTAAACTTGTCTGAAAATTGAAGGGGGCCCAGAATTCAGCAGCCACTCTAGGCCAGATGTTTTCAAGCTTGACTCTGGCAGATAGCTATTTTCTGGCTGGAGATAAGCACTGACTTTTCATCTGTGCAACCTGAGCTGGCAGAAGAGAGGCTGTAGCTGATGGCCTGAGCTGGAGATAGCATTCAGGATCTCCCCTCTGAAGATCCTGCCAGATATTGAAATTATTCCCCTTCCAGCACAAGGATGTCCAATTAAATCGCCCTGTATGGCAGGTTAGAAAACCTCTCTGTTCAAATTTCTGTGAAGAATTGAGCAACAGGGTGGTTTTGCTGGGGTTTGAAAGGGTGTGAGTTACCTTGCTAGCAGCTAGTTGTAAAAAAACCTTTGGAGTAACTGCTAGAGATCTTTACTTTTTTTTTTTAAATGAAGACTATTGATAACTTTAAAAAAAAAAAAAAAAGCAAGCAGTGCCACCACATGTTCATGCATGATTCAGTTGTGGCTTCTGAAACTATAAACCTTTCATCCTTTGTTTGAAACAGAAATGCTGGCTTGGGTGTCTGTTCCATGTCTTGCAGATTTGCAGGCGTTTTGGCTCCATTTGTGCCATCTATGGTAAGATTATTTTCTACTTTTTATGTAACTCAGATTTACTGTATTCTCTCAAAAGCACTTTGCTGACTTTGGTACCACATATGCCTATATTCCTTAAAGACCAATTTGTTTTTATGAAAAATTAAATAATTAAAAGAATTAATGAACAATATGTTTATAAATACCTAGTATTTTATCCTTTTTGGAAACAATCTAATGTTCTGTGTTGTGTTAGCATTTGATTTCTTAGTGAAATGATTGTCATATAATGTATTTGGTACTGCTAAGGCTCACTCAATATCTGACTCTTTAGGCAAATACAGTTTTCCTGTGAAGCTGTTCCTGTGAAAGGATGTTTATTGGGTTTCTTGGTTCTACCAGTATATGGCTAATTGCACAAATTGCTGGAGTGAGAAGTTGCGGTCTTTCGGATTTGACTGCAGTTCATATGGGCCTTATATTGTAAGAGCAGGAAACAATGCTGGGTTTTTACTGTGGATTTTTAATTTCAGAAATCTCTTAGTCCTTCTGTACCATTCATGGTGTTTGGAATCAGTGGACTCTCCGCGGGATTCCTGACTCTCCTTCTGCCAGAAACACTAAATAAGCCAATTGCCGAGACCATCGAAGATCTCCAGAGTTCCAAATACCAAGTGCTTAAAACTGAAGACGAAGAGTAATATTTTTTTATTGTAGCTTTGCATTATTTTCCCCTTTATCTTATGGGAGCCATGATTTAGTGCATATTGCTTAGATTGTGCATGAATGAATGTGTGCATGAAGTTTTTGAAGCCATCTTTCTCTTGCATTCAGTAGAGATTAAATTTATTTTTTGTTTGGCTCTTAAAGACAAGAAGGCTAACAGTTTTTACCTGTTTGCATTAAATAATATGTAAATGAATACTATTTTGTTGCTTTAAAGGAAAACAAATTTGAGAAAGGCAGTCTAAAATAATCAGGGACAATATGTTCAGCAACATTCCTGTGCTTTTACAGTAAAACAACTAGGCATATCTTTCATGTCTTGGATTGTGCCTTTTTGTCATGTTTTGTAGTGGAACATAATCTAAAATTAATACATAGCTGAGGAAGTGTTTTCTCCTTCATTAGTCTCCTGGGTTAGAGCTATTTATAGTGTTTTCCTGTTGTTGATATGCACTAAATAAAACATTTGAATTGGGAAATGAAAGTTCTGTTTGTTTCAACAGGTAGTAGAATAGAAAACCTGGAGTATATCCCATAAGTTTGGGAATGGCTTCCCAAAAGAATTAGTTTTAAAAGGGAGTGGGCAGGGAAATTCCTTTAAGAAGGGAATTGTTAACTTAGAACTAAGAAGGCTTAGTGTGGATATAAAAAAATATGTTTTCCTTACGTTTTTTTTTCTTGTTAATTATCAGGTAATTATTGTACTTCATCAGTTTTATCATACTATACACACTATTATGCTTTCCTTTTATGCCTAATACATAGTAATACTGCATTCAGTTGAAATGGAAATTTTGGGGCTTTTTGAATATAATTTCACTTCTGATGTTTAAAAAAAAGTCAATGAAGTTTGGTTTTCACATTTAATATTAGCCTATAAAATAGGACAAGAAAAATAACACATGTAAACTTTTTTGATAATTACTTTTCGTCCTTTTAACAGTTAGAAGAAAACACGTTTCAGAAGGCCTGTCTGTGGTGGAAATTGAAGACTCACCGAGAAGGTGCAATAACAATTGAAGGGCAGATTCTTGCTGTATGTATTTCGCAGGAAATGTTGGAGGACTCATGTATAACGCTGTTTGTAGCATGTTGAACAGTTTTATCTGGAGGCAGATTGAGAAGGTGGAAGAAGTTGATCAAAGCTTGTGAGAAAAGAGGTGACAAATCTCTGCCTTAATTTAATGACTTAACAAGAGCATACTTTGGATGTTTGGACTTCTCTGTGACTTCTTAAAGTGAAGTATTAATTTATTTTACAAAATGTAATTGCTAGCTTCAGATTAAGCTGTAATGTTGTAATTGAAGTAACGTATATAATTTAAAATTTAGATGGCTCTATATATTCAGGCAAGCTGTAATTGTGAAAAGTAACAGCATCCTGTATATGCAAGTTTTCTCTAGAGGGTTTTTTGCCTCTAAATTATGGTATACCTCACAGTGTGAAGAGACCAAAGATTTTTTTGAGTTGTTGGCCTTATTATGTCTAGCATAAGAAACCTGAACAGGAGATCTGAAAGGAGAATAAATGAGTTCTATTGTAGGAGTAAGTAATTTCTTAATACAGTTGTACGTGAACAGATACATCAAGTTACAAATAATATGGTGTTGGAAAAATGATGTCAGGCCTTTAGGAGGTACATTTAAAGGAGAGGATGAGTAACCTTTTAGACAAAGGTTATTAAGTTCTAGCTGTACATGTGGAACTAGAAATTATTGAACACCAGTCATCTGTTGTATAATATATGTAAGAGTATATAATCCAGTACATTTCCACACAAATTGGAAATTGTTCTTGTGAGGGGTGACATGTGTGTTTGGTTAACAGTTAATATATTTATGTTGGAAGAGATGCATCACAAATGTTACAGTTTTCTGATGGCCAATACAATTTTGTTATTAAAAAGAAAATTACTCAACGTCTGTATTATGAGTGCTGCTTTTTCCAGGCTGTTTACCCACGCTTTTTGAAGAATACCTGTGCAGTTTTGATTTTGGTCCTTTATCTAATGCATCTGATAGGAGAAAGGTTACTCAAAGGCCTCTGGATTTTGAGCAAGTTCCCTACTTAAATAATAGTTCTGCAAATGAACGCTCACCCATGCCGGTGTGGGTGCATGTGTGTGTGTGTACTTAACCTCCGGGGCTGAAGCTTGATGTCAAACAGCCTATAGAATATGCTGCAAACTTTTATCTTCTGATCATTTATTTATTCACCATTTTTCTAATGTTTTGCTTTCATGAGGATTAGAATTGAGTGTTTGATTTTTTTTTTTCCTGAATAATATTAATGTCTTCCATTGCGTTAACATTTATAACCATAGTGATGGATTATACATCTTCAAAGGATAATTGGGTCAGCGGGGATATGGTAAAGACCAAGTTTTGTTACTGTTGACTTAATTTTTTTTTTTTTATTACAAGAAATAAAATTTAATACGAAATAGAATGATATAACGTTTTATTCCCAAAGCAGAGACGAGATTTGGAACAGGAGGATTTTAAAGGTACCATTATGTGCTGGGAGTCTATTTCTTCCTCCTGTCATAGCTGTCAGGCTGCGTCAGTGCATTTTTCCTCTGCCTTTTATTCCACATTATGTGGAAAACGGGAAACAAAGATTATTTACATTTTGAACATGTCTTATTTCTGCTTTATTTGCCCTGGAATTAATGAATTCTTTGCCTGGGGTGGCTTCCGTGAATTTTGTGGATTGATGACCAGAAGGCCATGTGTCCCAAAAAGAAGTTAATGATCTTTTCAGCAGCCCTGGCTCGCTCTGTGAGCACAGGCCAGCGTGGAAGCTGGTTTGGTACTTTGTCTCCAAGGCCCAAAAGAGAATGTGGATGGAAACATCGACTTCCATTTTTGCTTCTTACCTTTTCAATCCAATTTAACACCTTGTTTGAGTTTATACATCCTTGCTGCATTTTGCTGGAGAAAAAGATGTGATTTGGAAAAAAAGTCTTTTTCCAGTTACATGTTTAGAAATAAGGAAATTATCTGCAGCTTTATTAGAAGTATTTTCAGTTGGACTAATGTAATCAGTGTGTTACATCTTACAAGGTCCTAAAGATAAGAAAGCAACCGTGTCATTTGTTACTGAATATGTCATGGCAAATCAGAAAAGGCAGCATTTTTGGTCAAATAACTGTTTTTTGGGGGTAGATGTCTTCCCTTAGAGCTTTTGACTTTGTAGAATTAGAAATGCTTCACTTAAGAGCAACTCTTCCCACTATTTTTAATGAAGACAAAGCAGTTTTGGGGAGGAATGCCCTAATAAATTCTTTACTTGATGTGGGACTCTTAACTATTGCTTTCTGTTTCTCTGTGTAAAGAACAAAGGGAGCTGAGTTAATTTAAGTGGCTTAATTACACACGCTAGGTCACAATCGCCATGCCTAAGTATCACTTCTAGCTCTTCCCCCGTGCTTCATTTGTGTGTAGAAATTCGATTATCATGTTGCATCTGCACTGTTCATCTGTTTCTGTTAGAACAATGTCTTCAGCGCTTTAGCACTTAGAAATAAAGGCAGTTTCACAACTTACCTGTTTTTAAACTGATTTGAAGATTGTGTTTTGTGTTTTGATTTTTATTTTTTTTTACTTCAGAACTTGAGAAAATTCTGCTGCTTTCTGGATTTTACGTTGTTTCAGCTGCAAATATTAAGGTTTAAAAGCAAAGAAAGATGAGTTGGTTGCTTTGCACTGTCATTAATATACATCTGTGATACACTCACAGGTTGTCCGGAAAGGAAGTCTGAACTGATTTCAGCTTTTTCACTCCTTTCTGTGTTTCACCTTTAATCATACGGTGTTTTTCCCTAAGGAGCACTGGGATTTTTTTCTGTCTTAGGTGCTAAGAGTGCTGAGCAGAGGCAAAGCTTGAACATTCATTTATGCTATGATTTAATGCTATTTCCCTGTCACTTAGCAATATTTATTCTTTAATTCTTCATTAAATTTGTTTAAGCTCCAGTTTTCCCCTTGTAAGAGGAAGAATATCAAGTGTAAATATTCAAAAGTATTTTTCCATTACTCCTCCAGTTCATGCTATATTTTTAATTTTGTTTCACATTTTGTCTTTCCATGGCCCTCCTGGTGATGGACTCGGCATGGAGAAGCAATGGGAGTTTGGCGGAATCTACATTTTCCTGGCTGGCAAACATTCTCTGCTTTGTTTTGTCATCAGCCAGTGAGATACACCCACACACCATGTTAAAAATCAGGTCAGGTATAAAGGCAGGGCTTAAGTTCCTTTTTCTGGAAAGTATGCTTTGCCCAATATTCATGTCAAGCTTATCTCAGTTATCTTTTTCATTATCCCATTTGATGTTTCATCAAAGCTGTTTCCTCCTTTGTTGGAGCACTGTATGTTATTGCTTGAAGTGAGGGCTATGGATTCATTTTTAGAATTTATCCTTTTTAATCTGAGCAGAGTGAAGTACAAATAATCCTTTGCTTTGTTGACTAATACTCTTGCAGCTAAGCAGTAGAGAAAGGAGGAGGTGAACTTTTCACACTACCATCTGTAACCAGCTGGCTCTGCCATTCAGTTCTTAGTTTGCTCCAGGCAAATAACTATCGCGTATTACAGCATGCAAGAGATCTTATTTTTTCCATGCGATGAGTTTCAGCAGTTCATTGGAAAGGTCATCTTTTGTTGTATCACTTGCTACAGAAGATCTAAAATTTCCTAGAGGTGATTTCTGATAGATGCAATCCTTCCATTAGAGTTAAATTTGTGAAAACAGTGGACAGATGTACAGCTACAGGCAAACTAAATGTAAATCTGGGACGATCTTTTATTGTAGTAGCAGAATTTCTTTGTACCAAGATTTCCAAATCTGTGAGGAAATGTGTGGGCTGTAGCATACTGTTTGTGCCCACCTGAGGGGAGCGGCGGACCGCAGTGGCTGGAGATGTTTGCAAGGGAAAGGGAACTTGGCTGAAGAGTGAGCAGAGGTGATTTGGGAATCAAACTGTTTCCAACTCCTGCGTATGTGTGACATGATCCTGAATTATGCCAGGCTCATTTTTAACTTGATATTAGATAGTTACAGTACTTTCTATACTAGATACACTCCTGCTCCCCTGAGTAGTCTTCTGGTTTAGGAAACAAGCTGGTATTGGGATGAATAAACCAGAAAACAAACATGTTGCAGCAATGTTGATAGCTTATGGAAACAGTATGGCTCTGCCTGTTCTGGTTAGACAGCGCGGGTTCCTACAGTGGTCCAAACTGTAGGAACTCTAGCCTGTCGACCTCACCACACAGTTGCTCTCAATCCCACTGTCCCGTGTCCCTCACAAAGATGTTAAGCAGCGCTCGTCCCAGTCACTTGGGCTTACAATTTCTATACTGAGCTTCTGTCTGCTAGGTAGCTGTACTGCCAACATTGAGTTGGCTGTATTTAAGTGTCCTTGTCATGAAAGGCTCCAAGAAAAACTGGTGATTACAGGTATTTTTAACTGTTTTTCTCAAAGAGATTCTGCATCTGCAGCACCTCATTACTTGTTTGTCATAGCCTCGCTCACATAATTTTCTGCTTTGCATTTTTTTTCCCTACTATCCCATCCACTGTGATGCAGGGCCTGACTGAATTCTTATCTCCATTCTCTGCACCAGTGTGCAAAGGGAAAGACTGCAGTATATTGCCGGTATGCATAAGGAAACCAGAATCTCTGTACATGAAATGGACTTAATTCAGATGTGTCCAGTTTGAAAGAAATTGCTATTTCTTTTCACCACCTCGTATCTCATGGTTGGTCAGGTTTACGAATGTTGGTGGCAATATTCAGTGACAGCTGGCTCTGAACATTGCTGCAAGAAGCCTGGCAGCAGCAATATTACACCCAGCTCCCTTCACTGGGTTTCTGCTGCAGCTCTGGAGGTGTTTCATCTCTTTCAAACCGTTATTAAATTCTTATGATAGTGCAGGCTTTTGCTCATACAAATGTCTAATCCTTTTTTTAAGGCATCCTGATCTCTTGATTTCAAGGCTATGATATGACAGTTCAGCTGTCTGTTAATGCATTATGTTTGTTCCTTTTTATCGTTTTAGATTTGCTGCCTCTCTCTTCCACCAGAGATACCAATGATCGGGAATAATGACAGCGAATAGGGATGCTTGACCTGAAGATACACCCTGCAGTTTAATGCTCTATATTTTTGTATTGTCTGGTTTCTCTTCTTTTGAAAATGTTCCAGTTATTTCTTTGAATGGACACTTTTCCAGGGCCTCTCATTTTTATATCTGTCTGTGTGCCTTGAAATGGGTAAGCAAACGGCTCACGGTGCTTGCATAAAGCAATTCCCTCAGCATGAGCCCAGTTTCACTTGTGTGAAGACCTATAAACCAGCAGCCAGAGCCTCTGAGAGGGGTCAGAGTGACCACTCCGACTGGCAGGAACGTGTCTGAGAAAATTACTGCACAACCCTTACCTTTAACTAGAGAGGGGGCTCTTCACTGTTGAATTCCCAAGCTGCCTTGATGGGGTTTGAGGCGTGTTTTCATTGCTGCTATCTTTTCTGACTGCTTCCCCCATGGGTATGGTGACCCAGATGGTTGGATGTAGAGTTGGAAACCAGCTCCACGTCTCACTGCCCTTGCGATGGTCCCACTCCAAGCTGCCTGACCAGGCATCATTTTAGGTTTGCTTTGCTCTGCCAAACTCCCAAGCTTTCCTGGGGATTGTGCTTTTACTGAGCAATATCTTAGTATTTAGCTCCAGAGAGTTACTTCTGCTGCAGTTAGAAGAGTTTGTCCCAAGTGTTGTAGCATCCTTTGAGTGTAGAAATGGAAATATTCTTGCTGGAGTGCTGTGTCTCAGGGGCCTTCTTGGTACAAGTAGGTACAGGTCCAGCTCAAACAAATCTAACAAGCAGTTCCTCTGTCTCAGAATATTTGGCTGA